TGAGACAGAGACAGAAGGGCCGCCTGCTGCGCCCCGAGTGGATGGACGTGGGTGAGTGGCCGTGCGCGCGCGCTGGGTGGGGCTGGCCGGGGCGCAGGCCTGGGGTGCCGCCGGGGGTCCCTGCCCGTCCACCGCGCAGCTGGAGCCAGCGCAGTTCCCAGTCCCTTCACCTGCGCTGAGCACGGCTAATGTCCGTTGGCTTTCGGTGTATATGAAAATTTTAGTTCCCACTTGGTTTTATATATTTCGGCTTGCTTTAAAATAGGTATTTTATGACCCTGAGGAAACATCTGATTTAGGTTTTTTGTTTGTTTTTTATTGAGAAGTTTTTACTATAGGGCAGGCGCTGGTCAGAAAGACAGAGACAGAGAGATAGAAAGAGAGAATTCCCCGCCCCCCATCCCTTCTCCTCCATTCTCCTCTCGGGCACACACGCACACGTGCCCGGAGTGAGTTTAAGCCCCCGGGTCCGGGACTCGAACTGCGGTTGACTACATGGGAGTCCAGCCACATAGTCAATACGCCAACTGCTGGTCCTTGTTTTAGGTCTTTATAAATGGTATGGCTAACGGGGTGCAGAATTGATCTTTCTTGACAGAAGGTGCTTGATAGAAGTAACGCCCCAGTTAGCTAAGAATAAATGAGGGGCCATCCAGGTGTCGGTGGCTTGAAAATGAAACCACCTGGAGTGGGTGGGTGCTCACCCTCAAAATCCTGGGAGGAGCATGGAGAAGAGACTGTGAAGTGGCCACCTCCCTGGGGTGCTACCTGACTTTTTCTTTCTGCCTCTCCGGTGAGACACTCACCCTATAGCAGATTTTAAAAAGTTTTAGGTTAGCAGGTGGCATGGTGTTTAAGGTGCTGGGCTCCCACACGTGTGACCGTGGTTCAAGTCTTAGACCTGGCAGCTTGCTTTCTCACTCCCTTTCTTTTTCTGTCTCTCTCTGGTCAAATTGGATAATAATACTTTTTTTTTTAGAGAGAGTTTTGCTATAGGGTGTGTACATTTGCTGGAGAGACAGAGAGGACAGAAAGCGAGAAGTCACCTGCAAGAGGGGATGGCCACACCGCAATCCCTTCTTCTCCATTCTCCGCTTGGAGTCTTGGGCATGCACGCACATGCGCCCGCGTGAGTTTTAAGCTGCCAGGTCTGGGACTCAAACCACAGTTGACTACGTGGAAGTCCAGTGACATAACCATTATGCCATCTGCCGGTCCCAGTAAACAATTAAAAAAAAAGTTTTGATAAATCTTACAGTCTGTTGAATCTCAGAAACACACTGAATGAAAAAGCACACAGGCACCAGAGACGCCATGGTGGATGACTGCTTCCGCGAGCTGCCCAGGACAGGCAGATCGCAGAGACAGAGGAGATGGGTGCCGCCCCGGTACGAGGGTTGGGGTGACAGGGGTTACGGGGTTCCTCTCTGGGATGATGAACATGTTCTAATATTGGGACCAACAGATGGCGTATCACTTACAGTGCTGGACTCCCACGGGGTTTGAGTCCTGGGTATGGTGGCTTGAAAATCGTGCCTGTCGTGTGTGTGAGTGTGTGTGTGTGTGTGCGTGCGCGTGCCCAAGATCCTGGGAGGAGAAGGAATTGTGGTGTGGCCATCCCCTTGGGGGTGATTTCTCACTTTCCCTTTCACTATGTCTGCCCCCACAACCCCGTGAGTGCAGGCACCCAAAGGCAAAAAACCCTGGGGGGAGGTCTCGAATTGATTGAAGTGAAGGTTGTACACTGACAGTATACTAAAAGCCAATCGACTTAAACGCTTTGTTTCTTTTTTAATTGAAGGAGGGTTTATATGCTCACCAAGGCGCTGGCCAGCAGGGAGGGACGCGTGACCCTTTGTCCTCCGTGTGCCTGTCCTGTTGGAATTGGGCGTGTGCACACACACGTGCCTGGTGTGTTTTTCAAGCCATTGGTTTGGGATTTGAACCACGAGGGGCCATGTGAGATCTGGTTTCTTTTACCACTAGGCTGTGGGAATGGGCTACCGTGAACACCTTGAATGGGTGGTTTTATGGTGGTCTTATGTCTCATTAAAGCAATAAAAATAAGGCATCGAAGACGCAGATGGACTTTAGCCTTTGCGGTGTTCCTCCTACCTCTGCGATGTGCATGGCTTGTAGAAAACAATCCTAGTTTTCTTACTTTGGTGTATGGGAAGGCTATGGTCATACATGGAGAATTTTTTTTTAATGATTTTATTTTTTTGAGGTTGACCAGACAGAGAGACACACACAGAGAGAGAGAGAGAGAGAAGGAAAGAGAGAGAGCAAGTTGCCAGGTCTGGGACTCGAACCACAGTCAGCCATGTGGGAGTCCAGCCACCATAACCACCATGCCACCTGGTGGCCCCATACATGTAGAATTTGAAAAGACCCTGAGTGACTTTGCCCCTTCCCCATTGAAAATTACCTGGGAGGTACCTGTCTCCTAGAAGCAAGGACCCCCTCAGCCAGTCTCTCAAATGTTTGAGAAGCATGACTTGAGCCTGTTCCCCCGGCTCCCTCTTTTAAAAGGACGATTACTCTGGGGCCAGATTTTCACACAGCCTGTGGTCCTTACTGCCCATGGAGACCCACGGCGATACCGGGCGAGAGCCTGCCTCATCTACCTCACTGCAGCCAGAGTCAAGGTGTGGAGGGTTCACCTGAGCTTTTTACCTGGGCTGGCGACGTGAGAAGCGGGGAGCCGTCACTAGGCAGGCTGGAACCAAGAGGCTGCTGCCTGCTGACTTCCGCACCGGGGCTGGTTCTGCCTGTTAAAAATGGAGCCACCTGGTACATCATTTTTAGGCCTCTGACTTGTTGAACAGAACGTTTTCCAGATTCCCTTCTGTCGTCACACGCATTACAGCTCCCTTCCCTTGGATACTGCCCCGGTGCGCGAGAATCCTGTATCTGCTCATCCACTCTTCTGTTGGTGAGCACGTGGGTTGTTTCCTGTCTTGGCTCTTCTCAACGAGGCTGCTGTGAGCGCTCGGTCATCCTCCCGGTCTCGTGAATGTATGTTTTTATTTTTCTTGGGTAAATAAATATCTAGAGCACTGCATTTGCTGAGTCGTAGGAGAAACGATGCGTACAGGGTAAGAACCTGGTCGTCCATAGCGGTCGGGCCCTTGTGAATGCCCAGAAAAGGCCAGGAGTACTGTTGTTTCATTTCGTATCCTAAAATTGATCCGTCTTTTTGATTTGTTGGGAAGTTTGAGTAAAGGAATTTCGTAATCTGAGTCAGATGTTAAAAAATAAGGAGCGGACTGTTGGTGTCCATGCTGGGGCAGAGTGGACAGTGATTCTGGTAGGAGCTGAGGCAGGCTCGGGGGGACGGGGCGGGGCGGGGGCAGGTGTGGTGTCTGGTGCACTCTGAAGGGGGCAGCAGGAGCCCTTGAGCTGGCTGTGGGCTGAGGGAGGATGGAGGGTGCAGGATTGGCTGGGGCCCGAGGCCAGCAGGGGAGTTGTTTCCTGAGCGGGGAGGGCTGTGGGAGCAGCTGTGGGCTGGAGTAGGGACCAGGAGCTGGGTTCGAACCCATTGTGTCAGAAGCACCCATTCAAAACCAGGCAGAGGCCGTGTGGGTGGCGGGTGTCGAGGTGGGACTGGGGGGGGGCTGGTGTGGGGACGTGTTGAATGAGGCAGGCTGGAGCACCTGGATGTGAGTTCAGGGAGAGGGGCAGGGCGGGGTGGGTGTACCCTGTGTTCAGAGGCCCAGAGGAATAGCAAGGCACAGAAGGGGCAGCTCTCACTCTGCAGAGGGCCTCGAGGGAGGACTGGAGGACCCTGGAAGTTACTGAAGTTACCTCGCAGGTCAGACAAGGCGCAGCTCCCTCCTAAGGGGCCTGAGAGAGGGAGGGGGAGTTGTAGAGGGCGTTTCCTTTTTTCCCCCCACCCACCCAGGGGAGATGGTCCCGCTGCAATCCCTTCTCCTCCATTCTCCTCTTGGGATCTTGGGCACGTACGCACATGCGCCCGACGTGAGTTTAAGCCACCAGGTCCAGGACTCAAACCGCAGTCGACTACATGGGAATCCAGCTCCGTAGCCATTATGCCACCTGCTGGTCCCCCCAGAGGGCATTTTCTTTTAACCGTGGCTGCTGAGCTCTTCCAGTAGGCTGGCGGGATGACCAGGCAGTGAGGCAGCGCCCGTTCGTGGTGTGAGCACTGCTGTGTGCTCTTGTGCACATGAGAGAGGAGGGTCCAGGACTCACCTAAGGGTGAGGGAGCTGTGCAGGGTCCGGGGGGGCTGCCGGCCAGCACTCGGCACGGTGTCAGGTGAGAGCGAGGCAGGAGGGCCTGGGCAGGCAGACGGACCAGGCTGCGCACGGGATTGTAGGACAGCACCACAGGCCCACTCGGGCCGGCAACCCTTTAAAGTGGGCCCTTAGCTGGTCCAGGACTGGGCTTTCTCAGGCCCAGAGCATGGAGCATGGAGGGACGGGAGCGGGAGGGAGCGGTTGGCGCCTGCGAGGAGTGCCCCCGCTGTGGGGTTCGACGCAGTCAGGGGTGCTAGATCCTGGGCTCTGACCCCTTGGGGAAGCAGAGCACCCCAGGCTGGGTGCCCTTAACCCCTGGGTGGTATGCGGCTGCCGGCTGCGGTTGGTGAGTTCTCTCGCTCTCCCCTGATCATGCACTATATCAAAAATAAAATCCTTGGTCCTTCCTTAAGCCCTCCCCCAAAGTCCGACACAGAGAACTCTGGCTCCGAATGTACTCCTTAGGGTACATTCTACAGGCCAAAGCGACGAGGACTTACCCTTCTCTTTGAGAGTTTCCGAGGAGAACGCCTTCGCTCCCGGTTAATGCCACACGTTACTCCAGAAAGCTGTCCCGTGTGCCTGCCCGCTAGTCAGATCAGTCGCGCAGGCGTCCAGTACCTTCAGGTTTACACAGGCCTCTTACCGGGATGTGAAACGTCCCGACTCTGGCTTCCAGAAAACTTGGAGAAGATCAAGGACCACGAGCAGAAGGAAGAGACGTTCACCCCGATGCCTAGCCCTTACTACATGGAGCTCACCAAGCTGCTGCTCAATCAGTAAGTACCTGCACTTGGCCACCCGGCGACCCGGCGACCCGCCTCTCTCTGGCTGCCCACTCTCCGTCAGTAACCTCGAGGTCGCCTCTCTCACTGCCTCTGCCTCTCTGTGCCTCCTCTCTATGTCTCTGTCTCTCTTCTCGTTTTCCTTCACTCCACCTCCCAGTAAAACTCCTGGTCCTGTGCCTTCTGTCCCCCGATGTTGAACCCAGCGCTGGCTCTCTCCTGCCTGTGCGAGTTCCATGTGGACAGCCTTTCCCCCTCTGGTCGTGCTGCTCGGGTCTGTGCCCTCCTTTAGGGTCCAGCCAGAGAGAGACTGACGGGAGGACGCCTGACGGGGGGCGGCCACTCCGCCGCACCCCCCCCCCTCGCCCCC